AGTAGGTGCTTAATCAATGTTTATTCCCTTCCCCTAGCCCTCTCTTGATGTTGGCATTTATATTTGACATTTAACAATGAGCAAAAATTGGAATGTGTTGGAAAGAACCCCAAATACTACTAATTAATTGCTTCACCTGCTTCTGATATTTGAAACCTAAAGTTCTTGAGGTTGGACCTCTTAACTTAGTGTTCCAGGGGTGGGGAACCTGCAACCTCCAGGCTGCATGTGGCCCTTTTGGTCCTCAAGTGTGGCTCTTTGACTGACTTTACAGAACAAATCCTTTTATTAAGGGGATTTGTTATTAAGGGGATTTATTCTGTAAAGTTTGTATTCAGTCAAAGGGCTGCACTTGAGGACCAAGAGGGCCACATGTGGTCTAGAGGCTGCAGGTTCCCCACCCTTGGTTTAGTCTTTCGTTTCCCAAGTATATCTGCTTTTAGAACTGTCTTTGTGCAGACGATATAAAGAAGTGCATTTCAAAGATTGAGCATAGAACACCAACTTGGATTCTTCCTCAACTCAGATTCAGGTTGTCTTTTGAGTGAAAATATCTGAGTGATGAATAAAACCCAAAGAAGACATGTGGACATGTCTTTGGGACATGAAGCTTCCTGCTGGGATTTACTATTAGCTTATGATTTTGTGTAGAAAAGTTAGTCGGGAGTAGTTTTAGTGAAATAATGAAAAATTCAAAATTCAGAAGAAGTGATGGAAAAAATCTTTTCTCTCTTTCAAATGTACATACAGGTTTTTGATGCTACCAATACCACAAAAGAGAGAAGAGACATGGTCCTTGATTTTGCAAAAGAAAACGACTTTAAGGTGAGTCCAAACCTCTCACCATAGAAGGGGACTTTTGGTCCAGAGTGTGAGTGGTAATAAAGCCTTGGGGCTCAGTTGATTGTCAGGTCTAAACCCAGCTTAACTTAATCTACCCATATCTCAGCTTCCCCATGGGGCTGTTTATCAGAATGCCTTATTGAATGAAGATGCCTATGGAAATGTTCACCCTGTGAGTGAATTTGGGGGTGTGGGAATAGGAGAGGATGAGCCTCTTAGAATCTGTAACTTCCTTCCAAGCCTAACTCAGGTACCACCTTCTACGTGAGACCTTTCCTGATTCTTCCCCCCTATCTTGTGCCTCCCCTTCGCCAGAATTACCTTGTATGTATTCATGTACTTTTCTGTGTACATGTAGTTTCCTTACAATGCTCCATGAAGGCAGGGACAGTTTTGTTTCTGTTTTTTATCCCTACCATCTAACACATAGTGCCTGGCACATAGTATGTGCTTAATAAATGTTTTTTGATTGCTTGATAGCATCCCTGGTTGTTTTACATTCAGGTTTCTTTTCTCCCTTTTCCCAGGTTTTTTTCATCGAGTCTGTGTGTGATGACCCTTCTGTAGTCGCTTCTAACATTATGGTAAGAGCAGAAAGTCCTGCCCTAGTGTTGAGAGGCACTCAGAGCAGGGCATGTGTGGTAGGCCTGTTTCAGGCCAGAATACTTTATCTAAGAGAAGCTTTCAGAGGAGAGTGTGCATGTAGAGAGTGTCTTAAGGGAGTCAGATTGAGCCCTTGAGAGAGGATGGTTCAAATAAGCAAGTCTCCTGGGGTTCGTAGGCAGGATTCATGCATCAATTAAGCAATCTGTAAGCTAGGTGGTAAAGTGGGTAGAGCTGAGGTCAGGAATACCTGATTTCAAATCCAGCCTGAGATACTTCTTAGCTGTCTGACCCCGGACAAGTCACTTAACCCTGTTTGTGTCAGTTTCTTTCTCTGTCAAATGAACTGTAGAAGGAAATGGCAAACCACTCCAGTATCTTTGCCAGGAAAACCCCAAATGGGTCACAAAGAGTTCCCTGCTGAAGGACACAATTGAAACAACTGAACAACAACACATTAACAGAATAGCCCTAAGAGGGAGTGAGAATGATCTAATGTATTTATTTACAGTTAAAATCCCAGGTAACAGAAACATACACACATGTATATTCATGTTTTGTAGGACTCAGAAAAATCAAAGTCGGGTTCACATGAGATTGTGAGATTCAGTTAAACTGTCTGCCCTTAGGTAGATTGTGTGCAGTAAAACTATTCTTCCACACTTTCTATTTGAGGAAAAATACTATAGTAGACAAGTGTAAATGAAATGAAATGAGTAATGCACTGGACTATATTTCTATTTTGATGTGATAATATTTGACACACTAACAGCACTAAATAAAGGGGTCACAACAGACCCTTCATCCCAGATGAAAGAGCCCATATTTGCCTTCTCATTTTCTTAGACACTAAACCCGGAGGTATCCCTAAAAGTGATAGCAGTTACTTATAACCCGACATCTAGTAGAACAGGGATTCTTAACCTGGGGTCTGTGAACTTAAACGTTTTTTAAAAATTATTTTCATAACTGATATTTCTATACAGTTGGTTTCTTTGGTAGTTGTATTTAAAAAAAAGATTTTGTGAACCTAAAGACATTATTCTGAGCAAAAGGGTCCACTCTTCATAAGGTCCGTTCAAAGACGGCCATGACGCAAAGATTGGGAACTTCTATTGGTGGATTGTTAAAGAAGAAAGGGAAGAGTGGAAACCATAGGGAAATAGTTTATGGCACAGTAATTTAAATCACGAGCTTCACTGAATTTCTTTGTTCTTATCCCCTGAAGTTCCACCTGGGAATAGAGCAGGTTTCAGTAGCTTTTAAGTAATGAGTCATCTTTTCTGTAATTATCTATAAACTCAGGATTTGTTTCTCAGTTCAGTAGACCATTCAGGCAGCTCTCAGCATATGTTTGGGTGTAATAACAACGTGGCACTCATACCACTCTGTTTCTCTACCTTTACAAAAGATAGGGACCAGACATGCAATTCATTGATTTAGTGAACTCCTGGGTGAGTAGCTGTTCTCTACCATTGCAGGCCAGACTTTGTTTTTTGCAACTTATTGTCTTAATAAATTTCCTGCAGAACACTGAGTGACTTGTCCAGGGTCACATAGCCAGAATATTTTGGAGGCAAAACTTGAATCCATGTACAGTGCCTGTTACATTTTAGGTGCTAAATAAATGTCTTTTTAATTGACTTCCTGACTCTAAGACTGTTCCTTATCTACCATGCCAGGCTGCTAAATTTAGTATTGAAACAACCACGTAAATTAGAGATATCCATGGTGCTCTTGGGTCTCTCAGTGGTACAATGGATAGAATGCTAAGCCTGGAAGTCAGGAAGATTCATCTCCCTGAGTTCCTAAGTTCAAATCTGGCCTCAGACACTTATTAGCTGTATGACCCTAGACAAGTCACTTAATTCATTCTTTTTACCTCAGTTTCCTCATCTGTAAAATGAGCTGGAGAAGGAAATGACAAACCACTTTGTCAAGAAAACACCCCATAAAGGGTCACGATAAGTCAGCCATGACTGAAAAACAACAACAAATGGTGCTCTTAATAGAAGTATCACATAGCGAAGGAATGAGATATTTGGAAAATGAACATAGGAGGAAAACTGGACCAAATTTTGAAGAGCATCTTTTGCTTTCCTTTGTGTCCTCTGAAGTTGATTATGAAGAGAAGGCAGGATTTAAATAAACCCTTTGGTCATCTTATCCTTATTTTACTCATTTATTTAAATGTTTTCAGCAAGTTTTTATCAGTAGTCTAGTTAAGAAACAGGCTATTACTGGTTGAGATTCTCACTTTTCTCCTTTATCTTGCCTCTGTGAAAAACAAACAGAAGGAAGTAGGCAGATGAGCGTGGGGGCTCAGTGACCCACAAACTGGGTATTCATTCTCAGAATTATGGAGAATGAACACTAGGCTTTGTTTCCGGGATGGGAGGAGGAATGGGACTCAGAGGTGGGGGTGCCTCCTGAATTACACCTTTTAGTAGCCAGCTTTTTCATGCTGGGCACATAGTAGGCACTCAGTACATACTTATTAAGTTAACTGAAGGGTCAGACTGTCTGGTGACTTAAGTCATTGAGTTCATAATGAAACATTAAATCATCAGAGACATCCGTACGTACGTGGTCATTACTGAATCTCTCTGGATGCCTTTTTCTATCTTCAGTAAGGGCTGTGTGGAAGATGTGCCCTCCGGCCATCTGTCCTTCGTCCTACCCCTCACCCTCTTTATATTCGGTTTCTGACTCTACCCAAATTTTTTTCAACACTGGGTATTAGGATAATCTTTTTTATCCAGAGGCCTTCTGTGCTTTCGCCTATTGAGAGCCCCAAATCCTGATTAATCTGAACCGAAAGCCTTTCTGTATGACTCATCAGCTGCTTTTTTGTGTTGTTGCAGGAAGTTAAACTCTCCAGCCCTGATTATCGAGATTGCAGCTCAGCAGAAGCCATGGAGGACTTCATGAAGAGAATTGATTGCTATCAAGTCAACTATCAGCCTCTTGACCCAGATAACCATGATAGGTAACTCAAGGAAATTCTCATTCTCCCTCCAATGGCCCCGTTTTGATATTTACTTCTGTGTGCCAAGGGAAGACATTCTTAAGATGATCTTAAGGCATGTTATTGTTAATTCTAAAACCTTAGAATACATCTTATAGTTCTTCTTGAAAGGTTTGTTAAAGTTACCCCCTTTATCCTCACTGTGTTCTTGCAAGGCAGATATAGGCAAATGAGCTTCCCAAGTTAAGGCAGAATCATCACAAGTCCCAAGTGATAAAGCCAAGGATATTATTTCCCAGTCCCTTGTTCTTGACACAAGATTTAATTTTGTTTTCCCAAAAATCTATTGGGATTCTGATAACTGACTGTTGTGAAACATCTGGCTTAAAGGACTTGTGAGCAATGGCTTGCCATGACTTTTAGCATCAAATTCAGTCTCTTCTATTTGGAATTTAAAGCCCTCTACAACCTGGCTCCACTCTGCTTTTCCAAGCTTAGTATACATTACTCTGTTTTTGTATCCCCAGCATCTAACACAGTGCTTGGCCTATTTTTGTTGTTTAGTAGTGTCCCACTTTTTGTGACCCCATTTAGGGGTTTTTTTGGGCAAAGGTACAGGAGTGTTTGCCATTTCCTTCTCCAGCTCATTTGACAGATGAGAAAACTCAGGCAAACATGGTTAAGTGACTTGCCTAGGGTCACACAGCTAAGAATTGTCTGAGGCCAGATTTGAGCTCAGGTCTTCCTGACTCTAGGCCTGGCACTCTTACCTGCTGCGCCACCTAACTGCCTGACCTATAGTAAGCACTTAATGCTTATTGATTGATCCTTGCATTCTTAGTTGTAGACATACTGGTTTTATGTCACACACACAGGACATTATCTCCTGCCTTCATGCCTTTTCCTTGGCTGTGCCCCATGCCTGGAAGGCATTCCTTCTTCATGTCTACCTCTTAGAATCCAGTTTCCCCCAAAGCTCAGCTCAGGAGCTATCTTCTATATGAGGTCTCCCCTGATTTCCCCCCAACTGCTAGCATTCTCTTACTCCCACCCCAGTTACTTTTATATGTTTCCTGATTATTTGATTTACTCTTTGAAGTGAGTAGGAATAAATATATTGGGGACATGGACTTCAAGACTTCCATAACTCATCTCTTCATTGCTTGGTACATTGATTTTTGTCATCTTTCCCTTTTCTTCTCTTCCCTTTTCTCTTCCCAAGTCCCATAACCCCAGTATCTAGTGGGGAGAAGCCAGTCTGTATTCTGCCTGCATTAAGCACTTTCTTTGTTTGGACTTGGGGACTCTGGGATTGATGTCTGCGATAAGCCATGCTCAGACCTCTTGGGCTTTGGGGATTATCCCGGCCACTGTTTTAGCTAAATGAGGGTGTTGAGAGAGAAATAGCCATTATGTGGCACATTTGGGATCTGAAAAGGGGGGAGGGAGACTTTCTTACATGAGCAAGGATATGGGACACATACTGTGATGGATTTGTGTTCATATCTTCACTAGTGCATAACAAAACCTCTCCATGCCTTTTTATCCTCTTGCCTAAATGTTTCCATAAATCCCCTGCAGAAGATCTACCCAATGTATGGGCAGACTTCCTGTAATGTTTCATGGGCACAGTCTCCGGCTATGCATTGATTTATATCTAGTCCTTGCTCTCACTCCATCATTGTCTCACCTCAACTTTTTAGTCCTATGTGTCCTTGTGATATAAAAGTTATCATTGGTCATGTGTATTTTCATCGCCTTTTAGTGACTGGCCATTGTAATTCTTCTGAAAGAAGTTGTAGCAATATAGTGTCACTGTGAGAATATTCATGTCATTTTATTCCTTATCTGAAGGAACAGGGTACATAATACTGTAATGCCCGTGTTAAAAAACAGAATAAAAGAATTTCTTTGCTCTCAAGGAATTTGTAGCCTAATTCTTGAATTCCTTCAAGGAAGAATACTTGTGAAAATGTTAAGCAGCTTTAAACTGACCTATTTTTAGAATTTCCCTTTTTTGTCATGAATTTGACAAACACCAACATATTATGAATATTTCCTTATACCAAGAGGAGCAAGAAGACTGAATATGGCACCATGATTCTCTACCAACTGCCATTCACGGGGCAGGCAAGCCAGTCAAAGTGAAGCGAGATACGTTGGGGGAAAACAGGGAAGCAGTATATCCAGGCCAGTCAAACTTCCACCATCTCTTCTTATCCCCTGATAAAGACAGCCCCGGACTCTCAACCCAACAGTCTTGGGAATGGCAGTGTCCTCCAAACCTGCTGCCAGCCATTCCCCACAGCCATGACTGAGGGAAGAAATCATTGTGGAGAAGGGGCCCACATTCCTCAGTCCCCACTGGCAGTAGCTGCTGCAGCTGCCACCAAGGTGGATAAGCATAAGAACCCTGGGAATGGCAGCACCCCAGACTGCTACTGGTCCTCTTCTTAGGCCAGCCCTCCCTGCCATCATCCTGGGAAGCTGTCCCTGTGGAGATATACAGAGACTGATAACTGCTTGTATAGATTCAGTAGTCGCAGTTACTGAAGACCCAGAAAAGAAAGTTATTGTCACTGGAGGTCCTCAGCGCAGTTGTGGCTCAGCATCAGAAACTGATGATGATTTCATCAGTGGAAATGACATCATAGAAGTATTTGCCATTGTACTCTCAGCACCATGGGAACTTTCCATCTGACTTGCAAATAAAATATCCTGTATATATCGTCTGCCTTCCAATAGTTCTTTGAGAGCAGAGATTGATGAATTCTTTTTGCAGATACCAAGTGTTTAACAAATACTTTATTCATTCATTCACTGTATAAAGCTTTGTTTTCTTACATGTTAAATTTAATATGATTATATTATATATAAAATTAATAGTATTATTGTTATAATTAAATTTAATAATATTTAATATTAAAAATGGCGTTTAAATTTAATATGGTAATTCTAACACTGCATATTTGTGTTTTCCCCTTCTTAACAAATAAGTATAGTTCCAGGGAACAAATTCACACATTGAAAGGGCTTTTTACAGGAAATTGAGATATTGATGCATAATCCTGTTTTGGTTCATTCTCCCTGTGGTTTGGGTTTCTTTACAGGGATTTGTCACTGATCAAGGTACTTGATGTTGGCCGACGATTCCTGGTAAACAGAGTCCAAGATTACATCCAGAGCAGGATAGTCTATTACCTGATGAACATCCATGTTCAGCCTCGGACCATCTACTTATGTCGCCATGGGGAAAGCGAGTACAATGTCCTAGGGAGGATTGGTGGAGATTCTGGCTTGTCCATCCGGGGGAAGAAGGTAGGAGCCAAGAGTGGAGTGGGTGTGCTTCCTCTTCAGTTAAGGGAGCTAATCTCGTAGTCTGATAAGGGAATGTGGGATGGTGTATGAGAGGCAGGGAAGGAATGGATTTCTGGGGCTAAGAGGCCTAAGGTGGGTGTGCTGGGGTTGTGCCCTGGCTCTGGGGCTCTGGTTCTTTGGTTAGCCATAACAATGAGGGGGCAGTGGTGGGTGGCAGACTGAAGGGTGAATTCTCTGCTTCCCAAGAGGTTGGAAAGTAGTGTCATGCTCCAACGTCCAAACTCTCTCCATGTTGCTCCTTGACAATTTCAGTTCTCCATTGCCCTGTGCAAGTTCCTTGAGGAGCAGAATTTGAAGGACCTTAAGATATGGACCAGTCAGCTTAAAAGGACGATCCAGACAGCAGAAGCCCTCAAGTTACCTTATGAACAGTGGAAGGCCCTCAATGAAATCGATGCTGTAAGTATATCTATCTGGCCATTGCAGTTCGAAGATCTGGGCTTGAAGGGTGGGGTGGAGAAGAATGTCTTTTTTTTTTTTTCCCCATTATATTTGAATTTACTTTAAACTTAAGTACAAAATGAGAAAAGAAAAAACAAACATTGCCATGTACACAGCACAACATGAGAGGAGTATAAAGCAATAAATTTCCATTTCAGGAAGACCGATGTAATAAAATACTATACATTATTTTCAAAGCTTGTTCCTCTTTTCTTTGCTTCCTTGTATGTTTTCTTTTGTCCTCTGCTATGCCCTTTTTACTTTGTTTTTTTCCTCTTACCCCCACCCCCCATGAAGGCTACAATTAAGCACGGATATATATGTGTGTATGTGTGTGTATATATGTATATACATATACACACACATATACATACATATAGGTTAATATCTACATATGTACACATACACACATATATGTATATAAACATATATACTCATCCATATGTGTAAGACCACGTTATGCTCATTTCTACTTACCATCTGTTTCACTACAAGTGGATAGTATCTTCTTTACAAATTCAAGTCTTTCCATATTTTTCTAAATCTATCCGCTCATCATTTCCTACACCACAACAATATTCTGACCCAATCACATTCTTTCTGGGAGATGGTAAGAATTTTCCCCTCAATTTTTCTGCATTCAAAGGGCATTTTCTGAATTTAGCTAGGTTAGGAAGAGGGCAAGTGAGGAGGGCATGTCTCTGTACAAGTAATCTTGAGATGTTCTAACGAGTTTTTGGCCTACAGGCTTGGCCCTGATGGTCTAATAGCGGCACCTTTTTGTGTCTGTGTCACGACATCTGATTGTTTCTCTTCAGGGAGTCTGTGAAGAGATGACCTATGAAGAGATCAAGGAGACTTATCCTGAGGAGTATGCTCTTCGTGATCAGGACAAATATTATTACCGCTACCCTACTGGAGAGGTATATTTGCTGGGGTGTGGCTTTCTCCTTGAAAACAGTTGGGTCATCTTTTTTTGGCAAACCTTCTTTCTTTATCTGCATTCATTCCCTCATTCACCAAAGATATATTGAGTGCTGTGATATCCAATGGCACTGTGTAGCTGGAGGTGCTCACTGGGCCTTGGATCAGGCTCAGATCAGAGTTTGTTTTGGGTATTTCAGCTTGTGCTTTGCGTATAATAAGACAGTCAATGGATAGGCTTATAGGAACTTAGACCAAAGGCAGGTGTATGGAGCTTAAAGGGGAGAGATATGTTTGTCCTTAAACTTTGTGTCCTCTGAATGGGCAGAAGGAAAGCTTCAGTGGATGATGATTCTCCCATTTTGAGCAAAATTGATATACAAAAATCTGACTGATAGAAAAAGATCAAGTGTAATTAATAATATAAAACGTAACTTTTATAATTTGCTTCAAGATTGTGCTATTTTTTAAAAAAATCTTTTCCACTTTGATTTTATTTTTATATTTTATATTGCCTTCATTTCCAAACCTGTCAGTTCTCCCAGCAACTGTCTAAAACAATACATTACAGATCTGCATCTGGGAAGGGAGCATCCACATGGGGTGTCCCTTTACTTCACAAATTAAATTACAAGTCCCATCCACTTCCCTCCTCCAAAGGTGGAGAGGAAGAGTCGGTCTAGGTTCCTTGGAGGCAAGTTTTTCAGATGATCAGTCCATGTTGGGGGAAGTCTCTGGGCATTTTTCCCTCAACAGTGACAGTATCTGGGAGGAAATGACTCACCTAGTATAAACCTTTCTCAGAAAGCCAGAATCCAGCCTAAGGCCATGATGCTGGTAAATGTCACCTACATTCTCCATGGAAAGAACTTCCAATTCATTTTTAAATTTCTTTCCTTGCTGACCAAAAATGAGATCTTTGTCCTAACTGATCAATTACTTGTCCTATTTAACATAAATAAGAACAGAGACTGTTCCCACCTGCCTCATCTGATGCTACAGATGCCAGATTGGGCAGCAACCTGGTGTCTTTTTTTTCTTCTGGAAGTGACAGGTGGGATCCTCCAGTACAGAGCAAAGAGGCTAAACAAAAGTGATGATTAGTATACTCCTTCTATAGAAAACAGCCACACCAAATCTTTAATGATACCCAAGCAACTTGCCTAGAAAGCCATTTTTTACTTTAATCTAGAAAGGGATTAGCTTCTCTCACTTTCCCCTTACCCATTTGTGAGAGGCCCAGGGGTTTAACCTAGGCTATGAAAATTGGATCCTCAAGAGATCCTACCTGAATAAGAATCCCTTTTACATCACCCTGGCAAATGTTCGTTCATTCATGATTTCTCCTCGTAGTGCGTGATTTATTCTCCCTATATTTATAGATGCAGTTGTCTCGATATCTTTGCCTTGGATGAAGCTTCTGGAAATATATATCTCTTTTGTCTTTTAGTCTTATCAAGACCTAGTTCAACGCTTGGAGCCAGTGATCATGGAGTTGGAGAGACAGGAGAATGTATTGGTGATCTGCCACCAAGCTGTCATGCGTTGCCTTTTGGCTTATTTTCTAGATAAGAGTGCAGGTATTGCCTATTTTTTTTTCCTTTTGTGTGGGGATGGGGGAGGTATTGTTTTTGACTCTGGAATTTAGTAGCTTCAAGACAGTGGTGTTTGTCTTCTGTAATTCAGAATCCCAGTGTCCCAACTCCCAGGCCTGTGACTCTGTTGTTCCCTCATGATGCCTGTCTCCACTTAGTTCCTCTGCTGTAGAAAGCTCTATGTTGCTTATAAACCTTTTATGTAGTACATATTTTTTTTCATACCTTTCAGTTTAGCAAAGTTGCTTTCTGTCAAAACTCCTTGGCCATATGGTAATCAAATTGACTTTTAAGGAAAGAGGCTTGGGAACAAGTCCAGTACTTTAACAATATCATTAAGCCATCTGGAGAGGTGTTATTGGAGCTTTGGCTTCAACATACTTCTTTCATTGTGAGAGTTTTCTATGACTTTTAGACCTTTCTCTACTGTAGGGGAGATTAGATCTCTGAGATATCTTGTTTTAAGGCCCACTGTATATGGCACCCTGATGGAGTCATGTTTGTTTTCCTTTCCTTTCGTTAGATGAAATGCCGTATTTGAAATGTCCCCTCCACACTGTGTTGAAATTGACACCTGTGGCGTATGGTAAGTGCCTTTCCAATGGTCAAAAGACCTTGTCCCTTATACCTGAGACTCCTGGTGGGGCAGGGGGGCATTCCTAATTAGCTGGACCTATATTCTTTTAAAGATTCTATTTCCTTATCCCTTAGGTTGCCGTGTGGAATCTATTTATTTGAATGTCGAAGCAGTAAACACACACCGGGAAAGGTCAGAGGTGAGTACCCACCCTGATGCCTCTGACTTCAACCCAGGAGAGTTAGTTTAGGAAGCAAAGAACTTTTCTAGGGGCAGCTGTGGAGGACTTTTATGGCTTTTATGGAGTGGGAAGCGACTAGTCAATATAAATAGACTGCAAATAAAGTCTTCATTGTTGGTTTGTGTATTCAATGCTAATGTATACTCGAGTTGGCTCTTGTGATAACTTTTTGTTTGAAACAGGCCCAGGTGGCTTTTTGCCCTCTCCTTTTTTTCTGTGTATATTGGACCTATCATCTTTTTTTTCCCCCATCTGTGTTATGATCTCACAATCTTTTCACATTTTATTTTTACCTCCCTGACTTTTAACACCTGACTTGAGAATTCAGTGGAAGGTGAAAGTAGATGTTCTTTTAAAAAAAAAAACTTCCCATTATCTTCTTTCTTCTTTTCTTTCAAATAGATCTAGAATTGCAGTACCAGGTTTTAGAACTCTTTGGTTGAATCAACATTGGTAATCACAATTTGGACTTGGGTGTAGAATGATCAGAAATAGAAAAAAGAGGGAATTGGAGAGAAATGGAAAGGATGGAGAGAAGCTTTTCCAAAATCTATAGTCCCCAAGTCTGTGTACTCTGGCCCTGGCTGATTTCTCCTGTCAGAGATACAAACCTAATTGGTTTCAAATCTCAATGAAGGAGAAATCAGATTGGGACTGACCTGAAAGTAAATTTGAACCCACTTTTATGTAACTTTATCTGTCTAGAGACAATGTGGTATGGAGGATAAGAGAAGTGCCCCCCTCACCCCTCAAAATAAGAAGACCTGGGTTTACTTACATCCTTGACAAATACTGGCTGTGGGATCTGGGGCAAATCACTTAACTAACCTCTTAGACTTCTAAAGCACCTCTCTTAATTCAATGAGTTGCAAAGGTGGTTATACTCTGCATTGGTAGAGGTTGTCCCCTTGAAATTACAGGTCCAGTCCTTATCTATCAATGTGTAATATCCTTTTGCCAGGGATATGATTCAAATTCCCCTTTTCCGGCAGGGTATCCTGCTGGCTTCATTCCTTAAAACAGACCTGTCCCTAAGGGAGGAGTCTGATTTTAGGACCTTAGCTTGAGGTGATGTTTGCTCAAAACACTTTCTGGTCTACAGTGGGGGATTTAACCTAGCTGCGTCTGAATAAAATTAAAGAGATGCTTTGAAGATTGGAAAGGCCATCCTACCACATTCTTAAATGAAGAACTTGGCCTGGGACAATAATTGAGCAGAAAGAAAAACACACCTGCAATCGTAGTACCTCAAGAGTCATGTATTCACCCAGTATTTTACCAGGTCCCTGTTGAGGTTTGTTGCCTAGATCGAATTAGGTTCAATCAAGTTCATGGTTTTGGACTAATGACTCAGGCCTGAAACCAACTCTTGACCCTCAGCCAGAACTTAAACCATCCCAAAAAGAGTAAGGTCTCTCTCTCTATTTTTAAAAAATAGGTTTTATAGATGGAAATTCCATCCTTTCTCTCAGAAACTTATTCAACCAATTAGAAGGTTAACATATAACTTGGCAATGTTGGTCCTGGCTGGCTGACTTCTGCCTCCACTGACAAAATGATCATTACCATAGTCAGTCTTCTCATGGACCTGTTTACTTCCTGTCCAAAGCCTGCAGAGGCTGTGAATAGTCTCATTGAAAGACAGAGATGTTCCAGTGAGAGGTTCCTTGATCCTGGATTGCCAGCATACCTAGTCAGTTGCTGGCAGGCTAAAGAAAACATTTTTCCCCCTTGCTACTATATTTCTCTGATTTTTTCCTGGGATAACTCTAGCCTTTTTCTTGTCCAATATGTAACTGGCTTTCTTTTCCCAGTTCTCTCTCCTTCCCTCAGTTTCTGGGAGCCAGAGGGAGGAGGAAGGTGGGTGGACCTGGAACAGCTTATCTCTGTTCTGAATCAAAATCGAGAATTGGTATTGATGTTTCCTTTTACCTGCTGCCTTCCTCCCTACTTTTCTGCAAAAAAAAGTCATGTTTGTGTGTCTCTTTGGGGATAATCTGGGGGAAATGCATGGGAGGGAGGGGAGAAGCCCATTTGTTTCTTTTTACTTGGGAGTTGGTGGCTGAACAGACATTTTCCTCACCTGAGGTCTCTTGGTCACTTGCTGTGTAATCAGCAGCTTGGTGGTGAAGTGCATAGAATATGGGCTGTGAAATCAGGCAGACTTGAATTCAAATCCAGCCTCAGATACTTACCGGCAGTGTGACCCTGGGCAAGTCACTTAACCTCTGTTTGCTCAACTGTAACACGGGGATAATAACAGACTTACCTTCCAGGATTGTTAAAGCACTTAGTGCAGTACCTAGCACACAGTAAGCACTATATAAATTAATGTTTGCATGTTACTGTGATTGATCAAAGTCTAGAAACAGAACAGACTTTTTTTTTTGCTATTGTTTCCTTTTCCACCCCTGCCCCTTTCTCCCTTCAGTTTCCCCCCATAACTGTCGCCTTATCTCTTTTGTCTTTGTCTTGATTAGGAAGCAAAGAAGGGACCTAACCCGCTCATGAGACGCAATAGTGTTACCCCACTAGCCAGCCCTGAGCCCACCAAAAAGCCTCGCATCAACAGCTTTGAGGAGCACACGGCTTCTACTTCTACTTCCCTGCCCAGCTGCCTGCCCCGGGAGGTACCCACGCAAGTTAGTTGACTCTCTTCTCCTGTCGCCTCTAAGCCTATTGCATAGAGAAGATAATAATTCTGTTAAGGTTCAGTTGTCGTCATCTTTCTAATATGCCTTTCTGTAACCCCTTTTTAAGGGAAGAACACAGAAGTCCTTTGTGTATGATCCTTTGGAGTAGGTAATAGCATGGTCATCTTCTCACCTGATGCCTGATAGAACTGCATAGACACCTGCTTTCTAGGCAGGTTCTTTTACTTGGTAGAATCAGGCAGAGCAGGAAGAAAGCAAGGAATTAGTACATTTTGTACTCTTCAGTCATGGAGAGGTTAGGGTTACGTGGTGGCCAGTTCTGTATTGGATCCATGGCCGAAATATGGGACGCCTCCCAGTAGGGCCTCATCTGACCAGATGTCATTAGCCACAAAAGGTATCTTGTGCTCTACTGACTGGCCAAATCCGATGTAGGGCTGGTCTTTCATTCTCTGTCCTAGGTGTGTGTGTCTGTTGGAGGAATGCATTTGGAATCACTGACCAAGGCCACCTTTGTGGGGCAGTAGTGAGTGGTAGAGAGTATTGTGGTAACAGAAATCAGTCATGACTGGCTCAGCAAATTAACCCTGAAAATTGTCACTGGTCTCTCTGATGGTTAGCTATTGGGGGTGAGGGTGATATACTTAATATAGGGTGCTGAAAGGTTTTTTTGTCCCCTTCCCTAGAAGACAGCTTCTTAAAGCCATTAAAAAACCCACTGTAAATCCCTCCCCATAAATGTAGGTAGCACCAGTCTTATCATCTAGAACCACCATCCTCTTCCTTCTGAGCTTTGTCTTTCCTTTTTTTCCTTTTAAGCCTTGGCCCCCTCGTAAGAGCTAAACCAGTCTTCAAAAGATTTAGTGCTAAAGATTTCCTAAATCTGTGACTGAGAACATGGTTTATATTTGAGTGTTTTGCATTTTGAATTGAATTTTCTGCCTTGTTAGCTGCAAAGTATCACTCCCAGCATTAGCCTTCCCAAAGCTCCCCAATTCTACCCCTTGTTATAATCTGTACTTTTTTTACAAAACTTTTTTTTTATTTAAATAAAGCCTGTAATGTCTGATATTTGGCATTCCTGTGAAAATGGTGGAGGATTTATAGGACTTGGAGAGGGAACAAGAGGTAGTATCTGGTGACTGTTCCACCCATGGTGTCATGCTTGGCAGTTGGCCTTTGATCCCTATAATAGGTGACTAAGTGCAGATGATGCAATGTGCACCTTTTTCCATTTTCCCTCCAAATTTGGATTTGGTACTACAGCTTTTTAGGGGGAGGAGGGGGGAGGCTGAGTCTTCCCATCTTGTCCCACTCCAGTACCAGTCAGCAGCAGAGAAACTTTTGACCTGGGCTGCTGGTTCATCCCTCCTTAGGCAGCCTGGTGGCCCTCTGCTCCCAGTGGCTCCCTGTACCTGTCTCAGATTTAGTGCCACACTTGACTGATGAGCTTTCTCCCTTTTGCAGCTCAGAAATCCCAGACTCAAGCAGTTTACCCAAAGCTCCCCCACCCCTGCCCTGGCGTAGAGCCATGCCTGGCCACTGTGGTTTTTTAAAGGACATTGTCTAGTTGTGTAGGCATTTGGAATTGCTAGCAATCATCAGGGTATAAACTTGAATTTATAGGCTTTCCTGGTAGCATTAGGGTTTGCCATGATAAGACTAATTCCTGATTTCAAATGCTGTTTTTGTGTCTTTCCCTTCTTCTCCTACTGACCTTTCTCTCCACTTGTCTTCTCTCTGCAGCCTTTACTAGGGAAAGCCTGTTTGTAAGTATTTTTCTCTGAGCTATTTATAACTCCTTCTTCCCTCCTCCCATTCCCCCTATTCTCCCATCTTTTGGGTACTACACAATTTGGAGTCTGTGGCTTATGAAGCCTATAGGCCTGTGGGGAGGGGGATTTTTGGAGAGAAGAAAAGAAAGGCTTTTGAAAAAGTTGGAGCATCTTATGATTCAAGTCACTCTTTTCTTTTATCAGAAAGCTGCCTTTATTACTGACATTGCTTTACTCTTGCTGCTTCTGCTCTTCCCTTTCCTACTTGGTCTCTTGGGTTTCTGTTTGCAATTGGTGATAATATTAAACACCACCTGGGTCTCAGGTGTTGGGGGAAACGATTCCCCACCTAGGCATTCGTCTCCCTGTTAGGCCATATAGCCTCCTATCAGAGCCTGGCAAGCTTTAGTAGTTACGGAATCGACTTTAGGTTTCCAATTGGTGCTGTTTCACTAAGCATATTGTGTGATTCTTTTGAAGGGCCTATTTCTGTGTGCAAAATAGTAAATTAACCACTTCCATGGGCATTTAACCTTTTGTGTTCAACTCTTTCTTGGCTATCTGGTTCTCGTAGCGGGCCCTGGGAAGTTCAGTATTTCAGTAGCAACCTATTGGCAGCCTGACTCTTCCCTGCCCATTTCCTTATTCAATGAGTCAGGTCACCTTGTTCAATATGCAAAAATAGAGATTAAGATTTCTGCCTGATAAACTTAGAACAGTAGATCATTTCTTTAAAAAAAAAAATGGGAGTGTTCAGCCCTGCCTTCTTAAAAGGAAGAGGGTCACTATAAGTTTTATGTGATCTAGGCTCAGTTTATTTGTGCTTTGGCCACAATATTTCCATTTTACCTCCCTTTAAACAATAACAACATCCATAATGGTAGGGACTATTTTAGCTAAGTTTTGTGTTTGGGCCTAGTTACAAGTAGGACTTCTGCATTGTATATCTTTTTCTAACCATTTACTTAATAGAGCAAAAGTAGGGTGTCTCACCTCTGATACTTGTTTATCATCTCTGCTGATATTATTTTAAAATTTCAAATAAACATTACAAAAGGAAATAGACTAAAAGATCATATTCTTTCTGTTCTGTTTTTCCTTCTCCTGCCCCTACTCTGTGTTTAAAAGACAGATTGTCTGTCACATGTTCTCCAAGTATTCTCCTTTTGACATTTGAATAGGGAAATATAGCTCAGTGCATCCCCCTTCTCTCTTTCCCTGGCATCCTTGAGTGACAGTATCTTGGCTTGTGTTAGGACGAGCTGTTCCAAGGGAATGTGATGCAGTTGTTTGGGGTAGTATTGTATGGAGAACTTCTCCACCATTTCCCCTTTGTCCCTTTCTTCTTCTCTGTGCGTTCTGTGGGATTAAATTATGAGAGAGGGGTGTGTGTGTGTGTGTGTGTGTGTGTCTGTCTGTCTGTCTGTCTGTCTGTCTGTCTGTCTGTCTGTCCATCCTATGCTTGGTGTGGCTCCCTGGAGTATTATTTTATGTGTAATGCTTGCTGCAAGTCCTGGTTTGTGAGAGGACTACAATAGCTTTGCATCTTAAGATGCAAAACTCTAGGCTCATACAAGAGGCATCTGGACCATTCCCCTTGCCCCTCTCTCCTCAGAGTGATGCTTTGGTAGTAACCAAATCTGTATGACCTTGGGAAAAATCACTTTCATCTTTCTGGACCTTAATTTCTTTGTTTCTCATGACTTTTCAGCTCAAAATGTTATGGTCCTATTTTGGTACATATTTATAGATTAAACCTTGTCTACCTAAATGCCAAATCCCAAAAAAGCTAACACCTCACCCCCAACTCCAGAACACAAGTGTTAAAGTTCTTGGCAGACTTAGGTTACAGAGTGGACTTGGGAGTTTTATCTAAATCCTAATATTTGGGAAGGCTGTTTTGCTTCCTTGGATTGAGATTCAAAGGATCTTGTATTCTTAGGCCTAGCATAGAAGCCTCAAACTCTTAAGTTGGCCCCAGAACTGACCTAACCTTACCTTCCTGGGATTTCCTTGCTTAGGTCACCTAAGGCTTGTCGAGACGAGTGGGCCTACCAGGTCCAGGTTTGTGTCATAGGGTTGGGGATAGACTCAGTTAAATCTCAGGACAGTAGAGTACAAAGTCGCTTTGTGACTTCTGGGTAGGACTGTTAGATTGGATGGAAATCCATAGATGAAACTAAGATCTTAGGGTTCTGGGTTTTTTTAGACCACTAAGGTAGGCTCAAAGTGAGAACTGTCATAAGTACGTAGTTTCCTTATCACCTTCTTCCCCCACTCCCACACACACCTTTAAAAAACAAAACAACCTTAATGGGAAAGGAAGAGACCAAGCATCTTAGGGAGTAGCCTTATGATTTGTTTCTTTTTGTTTTTGAGACCCTTGATGGGTCTCAAAAAAGGTTGAAGTTACTCATGCTAAACAATGGGAAAGAATCTATAGTAAGCATCTAAATTAGGGGTTCTTAACCTGGGGTCTGTGAACTTGTTTTTAAAAAACAGTTTGATAATGCATTTGAGTATAGTTGATTTCATTTGTAATCCTATATATTTTATTTTATATATTTAAAAACATTCTGAGAAAGGGTCCATAGGTTTCAGCTATCTGTTAGAAAGGGCTAAAGACCTCTGAGCTGAATTCTGTGGCTGGTGTGTTTTGTTTTTCTTTTCGATGTTTGTGTGTGGCAGTGGTGCTTCTTGTCAAGACCACCCTAGTCAAAGTTGGTATGTGAGCCCTAGCAATTTGGGGCCCTAGCTGAAATGCCTCTGGCCAAGTCCATTTGTATCTGTCTCCCTTCTCCCTGGCATTGTTGCTGACTTTCTGCATTTTTCTTCCATCTCCCCCAACCCAGGACAGACAGTCTTCCATCCTGGGCATTTACCCCCAAATTCATGTAATTTAGCTTTGTATTCTAAGCTTATTATAGATTCTTATGGCTATTTTAAAATTCTAGTGCTCCTGTCAGCCAAATTGTCAGCAGAGCTTTGGGAAGGGGAAGCTTAACCATGTGCAAAGTACCCACTGAACCACTAAATGACACAGGGGGAGAAATTTTCCTTTGGAGCAATCAGTCTGTGGACAGACACACTCCCTCTAGAGAATCATTTTTAAATGTTTGGTTTTATCCCTTAAGCTTCTTGACTTTTCCTACCTTCTTTTCTTCTTCTCTTATGGCCAGAAGAAAGGCCTTGTGTGTGTTTCTTTTTTTGTTGTTGTTTGTTTTTAAAGCATATGTGCCCATGGGTAACTCTACTACTTTTCACTTTGTGGTTTTGATAATAAATTTACATTGGCTCCCTGGGATGCTCTGGCCTCTTTGGGACCACTTTGCCAATTGATGCTCTGCAGGACTATGTTCTTAGCTTTTATTCCCCCCCTGTGTGTGGGAGAGGTCTTAACCTGCATGATAATGAGTGTTTTGCTTTAGGGGCTTGAGTGGAAATAAACTAATTCTTTCTTTTCTCTTCCCCTTCAAAACAGAACCTGAACCTGAATAACTCACAGAACCAATTTTGACTCTTCCTGGAACTCTGTAACAAAAGAAACCAGTTGCATTCCATTGCCATTTCTGAAGCTTGGCTTGTGCTCCTCCATTTAACCTGAGGCCCAGATAATCCCAGCTGCTTCTTCCATAAACTGACCAAACTGTTGGGGTGAGGGCGGGGTTTATCAAATGAAAATTCAGTACTTTTGACTCTGATCATCCAACCACCTTGTGGTGACTTAAAGGCAGTGTATAGCCCTCCTAGTGTAAAGAATCCATCGTTTTCCATTTTACTTCTTATTTTTTCTCATTATCCCATTCTTCATTTTCAGTGGATGTCTATTTGTGGCAACCTCTCTGGAAAGGCTTTAGAAGAATGGGGAGGGGAAAATTAGCTGAGAAGGGAATGTCTTTGCTTCTTTTCTCCCTTTCTACCTTACCAGGAAATGTTTCAGAATGACAGGTTGGAATTTCTTAAGGTTACAGGAAAATTCAAGATGGCTGGCCTCCTAAAGAAACCATCTGCTTTTTTTGTCTTGGCTTCTGAAGACAGTACTTCATTAGGAGTGGAACCAGCAAGTAATGGTTTGGAGGTGGTGTACCCAAGCAAAATATGACTTTGGAGAAGTAGACGTCTCCTCTTTAGGAATTCCTGAGTCAGAAATCTGCTTTTTGACTAAAGCAAAGACATTACTCTCCTTTTATGTTTTCATTCAGAGTCTTTGTTCTTTCTTTAAGCCGGATGTGAGAATGGGTACCTATCACCCCTCACAGAGGGGTGTTTTTCTGAGTTTGGAAAGATACCATTCTCTTTGAACTGCTTATATTTGCACCTTTGTGGAAGAAGTAGGAAGAGAAATCTGTACCTTTGTTCTGTGGAACTTGGATGTTGGGTCATGCATCATAGAAGCTGGGTGAGATTGTGAAGGAAACATGATGAACAGGGAATACAGACTGGGTTAGGAAACAACTGCAGGGCAAGGCTTGTTTCCCCGAAGAGTTGCATGTCACTGATTTGAGACTGGCTTGATATGAAACCAGCTGGCCGCTAAGCAGCATAGTCAGTAAATTGACCCTGGAAGGTTGGGGGAGGAGGAGGAGATCCTGTCTCTAGGATTGTCTTCTCACTGTGGTCTCTTTCAGGCTGGACAGAATAGCCAGTACAAGGAAGAAGACTGCCTGATTTCAGTTCAGTATTTATTGAGCATCTGCTGTGTCTTTAGCCTTGGGCCAGGTACTCAGAACAGAGGAGATGGGGATGGCTATATAAGTTTGACATCATCCCTGTCATGCTAGAGCCTATACTATTTGCAGTGCAGAGGGTGGGGAAGACTTCCATAACACACAGATGCCCTTCAAATGGCATTTCCTCTTTGCCCAATGTTCCACAAATGGGAACAGAAAAAGAGGAGCCTGTATGGGGAATGCATTTATTTTGCTTCAGGAAGGAGTTAAAATTGGTGGGGAGAGGAAGAGACAGACCACAGTGCCTCATACCATAATCAATAAACATTTCTTAAGCGCCTACTCTGTGCCATGCACTATGCTAAGCGCTGGGGATATAAAAAGAGGCAAAAGACAGTCATGGTCCTCCAGAAAGTTTAGTTTCTGTGTGCTCAGAATTGTTCCTCTGTCACCAAAAACAAAACAAAAAAAAAAAAACATCAGTGGGGGCTCATTGTAGAGCTCATATCTGAGTCTTAAGACATGTTTATTGGCAGCCCATTGACAAGTAGACATGTGCATAGATTGTCATAAGCCTAGAATTCCGCCCCCCCCTTTTTTTTAACCACCTTGAGTCATGTCAACCACCCACCTCTCCTTGTGGATGTGCAAGCAGGTACAAGTGCATGTTTGTATGTGAACCGTATAGTTTTGGATTCACTTTGTTTTTTATAATAGGTTTGCTGGTAATCTGCTTTCTTGGACTCATTTCTGTTTTCAATTGACAGAAAGGGGCCAAGAATAGAATTTTGTTTAATTATTTCATTGTAAGGGTCTTTATCTGTAGTGTATTTTCTCTCTTTTTAAAATTTAAAACAACAAGCTAGTTTTACCCAACAGGAGGATTTTAATTTGGGAAGAGTGAGGAGGATTGAGTATATCCAGAGATCCTGGAGAGATGCTACTTACCTTAGAAGCTAGTAGTAGTAGTAGCCTGAACTACACTGAAGCATTTCATAAAGGGGTGTGCTTAATGCACAGTGGGGAAGGTCTCGCTGGGACTACTGACTTATTTTTTACCATGTTCCACTGGAACCAGTTTTTCTGAACTTTGTATATTTGTTTGGGGGACACAGGTGTTTTCCCCCTATTCTATCCTGAGAGTGGCAGAACTCTTTTTAAGAATTAAGGAGGGGGAGAAACTGATTGAACCACATCCATGATACTGTTTTTATTTGTAATACTTGAAATTTATTTTTTTAATATTATTTTGATAGCAAAAATGCTATTTATTTATTTAATGTGTATGATGGTGCCAGGTGAGAGAGAGAGAGAGAGAGATGTTTGGGGGGTTGGGGAGGGTTTTTTTTTCCTAAACTTGTGACTTATTAGGTATGCTTTATGTTTGTCTTAAATAATCACCTGGGATAAAACTCTGCTAGCTTGTAAACAGGGTATGCCTTTCAGAAATTTGTATATTTTGCAGTTGCTAGACAAATAAAATATCTTGTTAAAGTATACTGTGGAATGTATCTGATTTTTATTTGAAAAAAACTTGTTTTGATATTATTACTGTTATTATTTTAAGTAGGACTAATTATGCTGTACTGTAATATCAGACATGAGAGTTCTTCTCTTGGAACTAAAATTCTTCAAGGCCCTCTGGGCTTTCCAGAAACACATTAGTTACATTAGTCACTAACTAGAAACATCAGTAATATTACAGAAACATTAGTTACCTCCCTGAATTTGAGGAAGAATATGACATTTAATTCAACAAGTGTCAAGGACAGAGTATATTCAAAATATACTGTTCATAGACTCATTTTTACACTGTTGAAATTTAAAAGTCAATTTCATACAGGCATTCAGGGTCCTAAATATAAGGGCTTGAACTGCAAAGTAGGTGAAGTTCAGTTTTAAGACACTGGGTGGGGAGTAGAATGGGAAATTCTACTGTAGAAATACAGAAATATTAGTGGGATGATTCCAAACTGCCCTGGAGTTAAACGAACCTCCTCTTTCACCGTCTTCCAAAATTTTTCCATGTTCCAAAGTTATTTCATTCTCCCTTCTCCTTGTTTCCCTCCCTCTCCATCCTTAAGCTTGCCCAAAGATTGGGGACTAGAAATTTGGAAGTCCATTTGCTCAGCCCCAACCTGGAGGATGGATGTCATGAAATACAAAGTTAAGAAATGTCAGAACTTCAGATCCTAAGAAACAGGGCTGAGGTGTAGCTTGGTGTAGGACTTGGTCCCTAAGCTAGTTTTAGGATTTTGAGCAATCCAGTATATCTAGAATCATATGCTAACTCTTGAAGAAAGAGCTGACCTATGTACATGAACTAAGCAGAAAGGAAATTTCTGAAGCTTATCAGTGCTTGATAAGGAGGACCCTTCAGGATTGTAGCAGGGTAAGGAAGCCAAAATCTGTTCCTGTCTCTTAGGTAGTAGGGAACTCCCCTGACCAGGACCACCCCCAACCTTTATCTGGAATGATAATATCTATGTATGAGTCATCTTTACAGATGTTTCCGGTTGCACAGTTGGAGAGAGATAACATTAGATTATCTCCGATTATAGAATGGAACATACCAATAAGGCCATAGCAACCAGAACAAAGAAATGTCAAATTTCATTGGTTAGAATCTCCTTGACTAGGGGGCAGCTAGGTGGCGCAGTGGATAGAGCACTGGCCCTGAAGTCAGGAGGACCTGAGTTCAAATATGGCCTCAGACCAAACACTTGACACTTATTAGCTGTGTGACCCTGGGCAAGTCACTTAACCCCAATTGCCTAAAAAGGAAAAAAAAAAATCTTGACTCTCCAACAAGTGAAGTGGGGTTAAGTGT